TGATCATTCCAGCTTGCGGCTCCTCTGTGACCTTGAGCTGTGCCTCTTCAGTGTGTACAGAGAGGATTCACCGAGTGTGTCAGCGTGAGATGTGTGCATTCAGATGGGGCATGAGGGGCATCAGGCATTGGGTGACCTTTTCCAGCCCCTGTGCACATGCCGAGTGACCCAGTGCTCAGTAATCAGACCTTTGTGCACAGAGCGTGAGTCAACTCGGTCCCGTTAAGTCACCGACCACACAACTAGACTAAGAGGCTTAACTGAAATGGAACGTGCAACAATTAAAGGCAGTGATATTACATAGTGTGGCCGCCTTTGACCTACGAACCGCTCAACCTCCCAAGATGAGTGACATTCCACTCACCCTTTGGCATGAACGCAGAGGGGGCTGACTTGTGGAAGCACGATACATTTACTGCAACCAAACAACAAAAATACTTTTGTATTTTGCAGGACAATTTTATTGTATCACACTGCGATATGTCAATGTTACTTTATCCAGACCCTCATAGCAAAACAGATTTGGCCCAGATGTGGCCCACATCCTACACATCTCACATCTGGCCCACATACCACGTGGCATGATGGCACCTGATGCCAGATCTGGGCCACAAGTAAACCATAGCATTACCACATGTCAAACAAAGGTGGCTTGAATAGGGTTTGCTAAAAACATAAGGGCCACATTTGCTATTGTACAACTGGACAAGTTTAGGCTCACATCCATTTAGTCCAGGCCACAGGTCAGAATTGCCACATCATTGCCTGAAGTGGCTAACATCTATATGCTATCTGGGGATACACCACTTTTAAGGCCTTATTATCTGAAATCACTAGTTTAAAGTGACACTATTTCCCCTTAACCTGTATATGCTTTGTCATGTTTGTCTTGTAAATGGTTTTAAATTGATTTTAAAAAGGACATTATGATTTTAAACAGAATAAACGTGACTGGCTGCCACAGTTTACACGGCTGTGCGTCATTAGAGTTAGGATGGCAGAGGTGGTGTCCTAACTCTCTGGGCTGAGGAGGAGCGCCCTTGTTTTAAGATTAACCAGCAGCTTAGCACTCATTAGGTAAACAAAGGTATTAACCACCAACCAGGCCATAATTAATAGATAAACACTTCCATCCAACATCTGCTTCGGTCAAAGATGAACAGATGAAATCACATCATGCACGAGGATCAAGTGGATTACAAGATCCTAAGATCGTATATGAAACTGAGTTATTGAGCTGTTAGGTCTTTGACTATATAAATCAAAAGGTGAAGAAAATTCAAAGTTAAGCAATTTCTTTATATCCTCAGTGGGGAAAATTAACGTATGTATGTGAAATGCACTTAGAAACCTACAGAGAATTACCACTGTACTCTGCAGTTCTCCACGACTTTTAAGCATATTCAGCCCAATTATTTTGGTTCAACAGAAAGGAATTGCATTGTTGTGTCCTGATGAAACAAGCATTTGTTTTTTAAAAGCTATTAAAACCAACTGTACTCTGCCTACCTCTTTCACACGAAAAGTTTTTAAATGCACGTAAAGCCACTAAAAAGAGGCATTTAACTATTTAGTCATTGTCAGGAGATGAGTGTGCTTTCATTTTTTTCCCCTCAGTGCATCATGTGGGTGCCGGACATCTTGCCATCTCGCCAGTGTTGCATCTTATGCGATACAAAGAAAAAAACTGTTGCACGTTTTTCCTGAGAAGTGGAAACTAAAAGGTACAGAAGCATTTAAGGCTGTAAATGCCCGGAAGTTCAATGCATGTCATAACATCCAAAATAGCATCAAGACTGCCAAAATAAATAAAAAAAGAGTAAATTGACCCTGGTGTGAATGTAGATTTTTGCCATTCCCATTTCAGGAAAAGTTAGTGGTTAGCATTTTTTTTATCAGTGGAAAAGGGGCTTTAGTTGACGGCTAGCTAGTAAACACGTTCAGCAGTTAAGAGACATATTTCCTGAAGGGTTGGTTGAGACCAAAGTTTTCAGTCTATTTTTAAGTTGTCATTAGCATCAACATTAATAGTTTGAGTGACTGAATTTCTTGAGGATTTCAAATCTGCAGGGGTTTTTCTACAGCCAAGATTTGAAAGACCAAGAAACGATCCACATTCAATCACACCTTGAACTTGTTGGGGAAATTAAAAAAACTCTACTATGCATTTGTGCCCTAATTCCAAATCAGTCGTAAATCCATAGGATTATGTAGCACTCACGGCTGTGTTAAGTGGATTGAGAGATTATTGCTTTGAATGATGAGGTTGACCGTTGAACTGCTTTCATTTAACAATGACTTTGAAGAAACCAGTATCCTCTGTGTAGAAGTGAGATTTGACGGTTGTCTTTGTACTGAATCAATAATGTTTCACGTCACAAAATAAATAAATACATGTGAAAAATGCATTGCTCTCACAATTTATGAGCGAAGGAATTATAATCAAAGAAGTTTACTTTTACACAAGTTGCACAAAAGAAACTTTTCAGAGAACGAGAACACAGCAGGGGCGGTTACGCAACAACATAAAAGGCAGCGGTCACAGACGGTACAAAATTGACTGATGACTTCTAAATGTAGAACATCACACTTCTCTCAGAATCTAATTTTACGTGGTATTTATGTCGTAAATCGTTGATGGCCTGAAGCCCTGCAACCTGCGGATGACAAAGCACCACCTCTCCTCTGCTGCTCACTGCCTGTGCAATGTAACACACAACAGGGACATCCCAATATCATAATGCACAAAGTAATCTCAGGGAAGGCCATTTTAATCAAGTGTTCATTCCAAGGGCACAGCATCCACTGAGAGAGATGCTCAAATTATTAACTTGTAGAAAAACTGCCCTCGGTTCATCAAAACATAGAGAGAGTATCCAAACGCTGCTGCGAGGCTTGTAGGGAGCACATCACGACAACCCTTGCCTCGCTGGCTACCTGTGAGTTTTGGATTTTGATTTTAAGACTTGGCTGCTTGTATTTAATGCCTTGAATGGTGCGGCTCCTGCCTGTATCTGATCTGCTCACTCCCTATGAGACTGATCGCTGCTTTAGATACTCAGGCGGGGGCCCTACTCACAGCTGCAAAAAGCTTGACTTTCCACCGAAGGTGACCAGGCCTCTGCTGTGCAACTTATGTAACACAGGCAACCTGTGATTCGAAAGGTGCTTTATAAATAATAGTTGTGACTGCCACCTAAAAACACAGACAGACAAAGCTGATCTGAGATTTTGTAGGAAAATCTCTCGCTTATCGTTGCCCTTGCCCTCTCGTCTTACTTTCCACTGCTCATGTATGAAACACGCACATGCCTGCGAAATTGCCAATTAAATCTCAAAATAACACTCTTGCGTCTTGAAATACACACGTCCCCAAAGCGTCAGAGCTTGATTAAGAAAGGGTGTTTAGATGATCGTTTTCTAATAATATTTGTGCCTTTATGGTTTCATTAACCCTGTAGACCCCGACGCTAAAAAGGAGTTTAACTGGCAGTCTGTACCTGGTGAAATAATATGATGTCGTACGTTTTTTTCAAGGCAGGATGCTGAGGGTTGCAGCCGAGGGATTTTTAACCCCAATGCATGAGAGAGGAGAATCTAAATGTGCTTTAAGAAATAACGGAGATGAGACATGATGAAGGAACCGGTTTCCCCATCATGAAAAGTTTGTCTTTCCACATACACAGAAACGCACACCTCTCTCTTGGCCAAAGTACCCAGAATCCATTGCACCTCAAGGTCACCTGAGTCTTCTCTGGCACTCAGCCTGTGCACCTCACTTCTCACTCATCTCTGAATCAAAGTAATGCAGCACAAATAGGACAGAGAAAAAAACAACTGCTCTTTAAAAAGAAGAGAGCGCGTTATTATTTTTAGCATTTTCGTGTACACGCTGAAGAGCAAATGGCGGCATTGGCTTCTTCGAGAGTTTCTCTCGACATTGTGCAACCTGGCGTTTAGATATCCTTTATGTACCCAGAATAAATCCTGGTTTGATGAAGGCTTTACAATATAACTTTCTCTAAATTTAATTTCCATCTCATGTCACAAAGAAATCTAAATCCGTCCAGATAATCTCTACACCGGTATCAAATTGCACTGCAGCGTCTTTTGCCCTCAAGTGTCATTGAGGGGGCGAATGTTATGTGAAGTAATGCAATGTTTTTTTCAGTTTGACTGTTAGAGATGTATTTTTAAGTAAATTACTGCACTAACTGTCTGTAAATAGCCTGAAGAGAATAAACATGGAGGTGAGCACAGGACAAACAAGACGCTCGCAGCAAACCTGAAACTATTTACTATTTGGGGTTCACCTCATCAAGCTACATGTTTACGCAACAACTTTGCTGTGTGGGAAATCTTTAACTGGGGAAAAAATAGCTCCTGAGATTTTCCAAGGGATTTGTTTGTCAGACTGGGACACAATTTGTAGAGCTTAACCCAGAATTACACATTTGACTCTGTTTTATTAATCCCACAGTGGAATACTGTATGTCAGCCCTGCTCCAGCCAAATTAACGGCCAATGGTCAGTTTAACTGTAGAAAGCAGGTTCTAATGCCAAGAACATATATTATGAGCCAGTGTCATAAACCATATGTTTGGTGTCAGCTTCCACATATTAAATGATCTATGAGAGCAGGAGATCTGTGAAGATCTCATTTGAAAATGGTCATTTGGTTGCTGAGAGGGAAACAGTGTGGCGTTGAAAAACATGTCTCCACTAACAAACTGGGTTCATTTTCACTTTAGGCTCATCTGAAACAAGTATCAAAGCAAGTCTGAGAAACACATTGGCTGCATGAAATGTGTAAAAGAATGAGTGTGACTATGCAAGAGTAGACATTTAAGGTCATTTTTTTCAACCAAAATAGTAAAATGCACTCCTGCCCACGTAGTGAAACTTCCACATTTTATATATAATTATATTTAATAGGAGATGGTGGTGGAAGGTGGTGGGAGAACTTAATGATAATAATATAGATCAAGAACCCAACTCACCTTGGGCTGCACCGCTACTTCTACCACTTGATTCTTGCTCATGCAATTTTTGACGAAGCCCTCCATGTTGCTGTTAAACTTCATGAAGATCACGTAGGCGGCATAGCCCGAGAGCAGAGTGATACTTTCCCACATGGAGATGATGTTATCCAGGAAGAAGATGATGAGCAAGATCAGATCCAGGATGTAGAAGGAGACGTCGCGGAAGAGCGGCCACCATGTCAAGTTGAGGATCTCCTTGGAGAAGATGGCGCACATCCCAATGACAAAGAGAATATTGAAGACGGCCGAGCCCACGATGGTCCCGATGCCCACGTTGCTGTGTGAGATGAAGACGCCGATGATGGAGGTGAAGAGTTCTGGGGCTGAGCCTCCCGCCGCCATGAAGGTGGCGCCTGCCACGTCATCCGAAATGGTCAGCTTCTCTGTGATGACTGTGAGCGCCGGGACGAAAAACTCGTCGCACACTATGGCTAAGGCAATGAACATGTAGATCATGCCGAACATGTGGAGGGCCACCGCCCCTTGGCGCCGCTCCTCAAGGGTGAAAGCATCTGGTGGGTAGTCCCCCTGGCTCTTGTTGCTATTTGCTGTAGATTTCATGGCTATAGGAATGTCGGCTGACCCATTGGGGTCCCTCTGGTGTTGGGTGAAAAGCAGAGTCCTGTGGGGGGCCGACTGGTGGAGACTCTCCTGGGGGAGCGCCGGCTCACTGAGACCGCCTGAGCTCCTGGTCAAGGCACTGAGGTAGACAGCACTTATGGCCACAAGGCTGAAAATTAACCCCAAGATTCGCACAGGCCTCAGCTTTTTCCGCAGACACCGGTGACTCTGCCGCTTGCAAGCAGCACCCAATATGGGTCGTCGCTCTCGTGTATCCATGCAGGCTTTATCTGAACCCATGGCTATGCAGCTCGTGGTGTCCTCACTCTCAGTGAATAGATAGGAAAAGGGTGTGGAGCAGGTTTTAATGGAGACAAAGCATGGTGTTGTCTTCAGTTTCAATTGAGTTGAAAAGATTGTTGGTGCTTTCCAGGGTCTGGTTTGCCAAATGATGTCTTCATATTAGCCTCTGCTGGCAAACGTCAAAAGAATAAAGAAGAAAAATTTTGATTAAGTTAGGGAATAAAGTCAACAGAGTGCAAAAACAATTATAATACTGGTTTAAATATTAAAATTCACTGTTTATTTTAAACACTGGAAAGTTAAATGAGACAAAGATTCATTGATTCTTTACCCAGTTTTGATAATTGCCATCGGTCAAGCAATCAGCAAATGCTAACTGAATTTCATCCATGGACAAAATATTTCCAATAAAATAAATAAAAAGTAAAAGTTTCACAAACAAAAGCCAAATCAACCAGTACCATCATCGGCGTAGCTTTGGAAGAGATGGCAATATTTTAATCAGGGATAATCTACTCCTGACCACAGCCAAAAGAGATCGTTGTAGATTAAGCCAAATATTAAAGTAAAAAATGACCAGTTACATGTGGAATACTCAGATTAAAATGTATATTTAATGCATAGTTTTGATAGTAATCAAATAAGGATGATTCTCCGAGCACACTGGAGTTAATCTCTATATCACATGAAATGAAAAATTAATCTGATGATAAATAGAGGATCTAAGTGAGATTTGCAGTCATTACAAAGAATAGACTCCATACTTTTATATTCAGTGTTTTAACTACAGTGCAAGTAAATTGAAACCACAAGAGACACAAGCATAGAAGAGAAACTTGCTGCCTGGTCCGAGATAATGATGATGATGAAGGTGGTTTAGAAATATTCTGTCCAGCAAGACGCATGGACGTATATTCAAAATGTGCAATCTTCTGTTTTTTACCAGGGAATTTGGGACTGAATGCGAAGGCCGACGGTGAACGGACACCACTTGGCTGACGCTGTGGCGCCGCCGTTCAGGTAAAAGCAGATAGAAAACACGCATCCCGTCCTGTTTTGACTTCCCGCGGATGCACGGCCCCTCCGGCTCCACTCACAACTCTGTCCACCCTCCCTGTCTGCCCTTCACTGGTGCCTGCGCCCTTACGCAGCGGCACCAGCACACAACAAACAGCTCACCACCATCAGCTCCATCATCATCACATCATCATCCCCGACCACAGCAGCCCAGCAGCAGTCCCCCCCCCCCCCAGGCGACGAGCATGGCCATGACGCGCGGACAGGCTGCTGGACGCGCCGCGGTCATTACCTTACCTTTGACAGAGGCGAGGAAAAGCAGGCGCTCAGGCACAGCAGCACGTTGAGATTCGGAAATCCTTTCCTCTCCGGTGCCCTCTTGCTCTCATTGAGCAAAAAAAAAATGTGACCGCTCTCCGACGACAGAGGAGGAGCTTTGGAAGAGGAGGGGAGAGGAGAGAAACTGCGCTCACCTCTGTACCTCACAGCAGCAGCAGCAGCATCCCTCCCGGGTCGGATGAGAGAACATTACAAAATAAAACAAATCACCGTGAAGCAGAATATTTCACCGGGCTGCGCTCACCACGTGAAGCGGCTGCTGTGTGCATGAAGCCAGGTGAGCTGCAGACGGCGCATCCTCCCCTGCTCCGTTCACGCGGCGGGGGCTTTGGTGCTGGTGCGTATTGAGGGAGGAGTTGCCGTGGTTACACTGCAACGGAACTATTTATTTTTTTATCGTCATTATTAGGATTACTCCTCTGGTGACGGAACAGGTGGATGTGCTTCAGCTCAGCAGCCGGTGCATACGAAGAGCTTGGGTCATTTCAAGGTTATATATTGCACGGAGTTGGATCCATTTCTTAAAGATAGCCTGCGACGCGCAGGATTACTGTTTTACTCCACTAAAAACACACACACACACTTTGTAAGACTGGATTATATATATTTTAGTTCAGTTGCATGCAATTTTTAAATCATATTGTATATTATTGTGAACTATATAATAATAATGACAAGGATAGAATAGTGAACTTTATACAGCACCTTTCAAAATACAGCTCCAAGTTGAAAATTAAGACAAACGATGGTTGAAAAGCAATTTAAAACCATTAAAGCAAGAGAGAGGCAGCTACTGGTGTCCCACTGGTGCTCATGGAAGGGGATATAAAACATGTCTAAAAGAATGGCATGAAGAATCCAGGTCCATGCACTCAAACTGGTTTTGTCTAGGTCATCAGCATCAGAGATTTTAGACTCAGAATCAAGACAGAGAATTGCCTCCTCATCTTCATGACCATTTCAGTCGTAAAACTGGAATGATTGAGACCAGCCACGCTAACACTCTGAACAAAGAAAATCAAAAGCAATCTCTTCCATTTTATATATTACATTAATTGTAAAATGCCCCTAGAGGCCAGGTAAAGTATTGCATATTATGTTCCCCCTGCACACCTGTAGTGACTGCAAATACTCTCTGTGTCAGTTTACCCTGATGATGTTGGTGTATATTAATGCTTCAAGCCCATTGAAATGTAGGTCTTTTACATTTTTCTAACCACTTTGAGTTCCTGCACCTGGACATAAGTTTTTCCTCCGAGGTTTCCTCCAATTTTAAAGCAATTTGAAATTCATTCATTCATGTATACAACTATCTAACTAATTAACTAACTCAAAGCTAAGCTATAGGCTAACAGCTTCTATGTGTAGTTTGATATTTACTACAAAGCCATGATAGTGGTATCAACCCTCTACTCTAAATCACAGCAAGAAAGCAACTAAACAAATTCTCCAATATTTCACTAGGTTTTTGGCATTTTTAGTATTTAGTATGCGTATGCATTCTTTACATGCCAGTTTGCTTCATTTTGAATGTGTCACCAATACCCAGGCTTCATCTGTACAGGCCCCTGGGCCGCATCATCTCCACTAATGTCAAATAACCCCCTCCCCAACAACTTAGCATTAGTCGACGGGTCAAACCCTGCTGGGGAGACCCAGACATGCAATGTCCACACAGTGTGACAAAGTATGTGTGACACTAATGTCCTGGTGCTGTATGATAAATCATGATTCACTGACCTCATTGATTGCCCCCTCTCTGCTCTGCTCTCCTCTCCACCGTAGCCGCCTCTTGTTACCTAACAGGGAGCACAGCATTCATTTGAGTTACCGAAGATTTTCAATTGTCAGACATTTGTGACGACAATGCATTATGCAGTATTAGCTTAGTGGTAGTTATTGGTCATAAGACAACATTCCCTCTGAAAGTCTTTTAATAGTTGATTCGATAATATAACTACATTAAACATCACGTTAGATGTGAAAGCCTCCATCACACCAAAATGTTCCTTGGAGAAGTATTTTGATATTTTGGGGAAAATGCTTATTCTATTACTGTACATATTTACAATTTATTGGATAAGAACACTAGAATTGGGAGGAAAACTTGTGTTGTTGTGGTTTTAGTGAGGGTCACTCATCTTAACTCTTTTCAACAAAGTGAATCAGCATTTATCTATTCATAACCCATGAAGACTTAACCTTCATAGAGTAAAAGTCAATCACATTTCCCTATCACTGGACCAAAGTGCCTCCAAGTGGAATGAGATCGCACCCAAATGTCCAGATGACTATTAATTCTGTTCAAAGTGATTGAGATCGATTGTCTCACTACATCCATAATGCACTGGTTTTCACACCGGAGCTATTGTCACTGGGCTTCCTCACCAACCAGGCCCACGTTTTTTTCCACAAGAACAAGCTGGTGGCGACTGTCAAGCTGATTATAAAGAGGATCTGAGTGGTGAATGAACACATAAGTAGGGTGCATCGATCAGATGGCTGGGGTTTGATAAGACTGGACTGAGCAGCAGGGTTTTTGCCACCACCCATCTGTCATTATGAAGAATTAAAGAGCATTATGTCAATTTTACACACAAAGTTCAGTTTACTTTTCAGAGGGAGTACTTTTCCAACCTGTGAAATCTGTCGTATTACGTCCTCTGTGGTTCGGAGGGAGTTTTTCAAACTGAGATTCAACATATAAACTTGAGGAGTGGGGTTTTAATAATGGGTTAAGGTTAAATTCAGAGCACAGGATTTTCTTTCGAACTGTGACCTGAGGCCATGGAAGCACATTTTTTGCTGGATGATAAGTTAAAGATATAATATGTAGGCATTCTTCTTTAAAATGTCAAAAAACGACGAGACCTATGTTACATATTTTGTTGACTAATGCACTGACATAATCCAAAATGTTTCCAATCATGTCCAAACTGAAAGAAATTCTGCTCACACCACTGTGACGTAATCAATCTACGAATGCGGCCCCTTGAATTGTGTACATGACGTCTCACATCAAAACTCTCAAGTTCCAATTTAAGGGAGCATTGGTGACTTGCATTATGGGAAATGTAGGATCCAGAATTATCTCCACCTAAAAGACATTAAAGAAATCGTGGCTCCTTTTCATTTCATTATTTAAATTATTATTACAGTTATTCGTGAGAACCACAACTTAATATAAATCCAATATTAAAAATCAGCAGAGTGCCCTCAACTTTAAAGTTTGGGGAAATTACATTTTGACTTTGAAGAGTGGGGATGAAAAGATTCAATTAAATTTGGGATTAAGCCCACTTATCTGTATGTTGACCCTGTGTTATAAACTTTTCTGCAGATAGGAAATCAAAAAGTAAGTTTGAATATTGACTCTTCTTCACAAACACTGTCACAATATCAGATCGGTTTACATTGAAATAATTAGCTGCATGAGCACATGCATCTTATCTGTAAACATCATCGTCACAAAAAGTGCCGGTGTGCCTGGCTCTTCAACTTAGATCTGTCAATATTGTTGCTTATCAAATGAGTTCCCATCCAGGCTGTCAGCTCTTTTTCAACAATGGTCCCCCCAGTGCATACGCAAGCCTCTGCTGCACGCCACCTCACGGGCCGCCCCCATCTGGCAATGTTTCCAGCATAAAAGTGATGACTTGCCACCGGTCAGGTGGGTTGCGGTGGGGAGGAAGGGGGTTTGGACAGGGTGATGGCGGCAATTGTTTTGATTTGTCCGAAATCTGTGCTCTGACAAAAACAACAGAAATTTCCATGCTGGCCCTGCCCCCCACCCGGCCCACCCTCGCTTTGGCCCGACAGCTAAATCCGAGCCTTTGTGCCCCACATAGTTGTATGGATTTGTCAGCAATGGGGCAGGGGGCAGCGGGGGATAGACAGGGTGATGATAACCATGCAAGTTTTTTCCGGTGGAGAGGAAAGGACAATTGACTGAAGCAGTGTATTGAAGTATTTCAAATAAACAAGGACATTCTACTGACACTTGACAGATGAGGGAAGCAGTGAAAGTGGAGAGCCCTGGGTTAAGAGACTTTTCTAAGAGACTTGCTGTGGATTAGATGTTGAAACCCTCATATTAGCAACCCCCCACCATCACAGGTCTGCACAAAGAGGCTTGGATAGACCACCTGCCCCTTAGGAAAATGCAGTCAGCAAAACAAACTGTGCACAGGCACCAATGGGATGCTCGGAGTGTAAATAGTGAATCAACGAGGTAGAGTAAATGTCCCCCGAAAGACAAATGGCCTGAGTTTTAACACAATAGCAAGACTGTTAAAAGATAACATGGGAGAGACCATTTTAGCTGAAAAACAAGGGGCGGGTGGGAATAATCATTTTAGCAGCATTAGTAGCTCTAAAATAAATTAATGAATTGATGATCCACTGATCAGTAAGACACTGCTTTCACTGGTGGTCCAAGTAAAGTGTAGTACAGCCAGCATTTTCAAAGGTGATAGGTTCAAACTAGTTAACATAGTTTTCTCTACTCTGCCTGCTTTTTATTTTGGTGAGGAAATCTCTGTTTTTATATATCTTCGTAAAATTGAAAGATTTCAGCACATTCCTCCCAAAAAATATGATCTACGTTTTTTCTTCAGCTTTGCAAGAGGCTCATTGACATGGTTCAGGCACAGTAGTGCTTTAACGCAACATAATGACAACAACATGGTCACAATCTAAGTTTAGTGTGCTAAATCGTGATAATTAAAATAGTGATTATTATGTAATTCAATTTCCAGTTATTGGGTCAGGAACCGAATTAGCTATTGCATATAGATCATTGGTATCATTGAATAGTTCCTGTTCATCCTCAGGGAAACATGAATGTCATGGACTATGGCACATAATCGATCCTGCTGAAAGATTTCACTCATCCATTGCAGGAAGGAGGTACTAGTGTATTTTTTCTGAGGTGAGACTTCTAACTCAAAATGTGATCGCCATCATTAGCCTTTTACATCATCATCAGAAACTGAAAATTCTGCCGAAGCTGCAGAATCGAACACTTCCACGAACACTTCCACTTACATGTCCACATTCTACATTTGGCTGAAAGCTGTTAAGCTACAGTATAAAGGTAGAATACATTATCTTAAAAAGATTTCTCTGCTGGGGTCATGAGCTTAGCCCAAGTAAACAAGTGAAAAATCCAATCAATGTTTGCCCTCTGGGACCATACAGCATTTAACCGTCGCAGGACAGGACAATGCTCTGGAAGGACAAACAGGACAGAGGAGTCTTATTGATCTGCTCGCTCCATCCTTTACTTCACATGACTAAAAGCAGGTGGGACAAGGCATGTAGTTTGTCCTTGTGACCTCTGGAAGCTGTTACTTAATATCTCACGGCTCTATATCCATGAGACGAAGACAAAAAGTAGTCTTTCGATTTTACGCCAAGGTTTTCAAATTTTGATCAAACAACGACCAAACGCTGCAGCATTTTTTTCTTTGGCTGTCATCGTTCATTGAGAAGTCTGTTGTAAAGAAGGACGCCATTGATACAGGATGTGCGCTGCATTATGAGGTTAATCCTCCCGTCGACAGTCCCACAGATGGGCCGACCTGCTGGGCTGCAGGGATGTGTTTTTGGAAGCAGGGGAGGAAAAGAAGTTGAAAATCACTGCCACCCTTCTGGTTAGTTGAAGGGAGCGAGTGAACAAGTGAGCTTGAGGGAAAAAAAAAATACTCGACGAATGGAAAAAAAAAAAGTGGAAAAATGTTTCATGCTCTGATGTCATTAGGAAGGCGAAGGCAGAGCTGTAATCCTATTTTAATCGCAGTGGATTTATTAAACAGGAGCAGCAGGTTTAAATCTCAGCAGATTACACAGAAGGCCCAAGGAGATATGGAGGGGTGGGGGTTTGGGGTGGGGAGGATGGGGAGGCTTGCATAACCAAGTGCACTTAAGGTGATGTGGTTCATCTTTGACTAGTCAGGACTGACAGAGCAGGGGAGGGGACGTGGGGCTTCCTCAAAATTTAAAGACAAAAATCCTCTCAGATTATCTAAGAATCCTGAATTTCTTGGATTAAGATGGAAATTACACATTCCATTGAGATGTGGTCTGAGGCTGAGTGCCTGTGGACACTACTAATTATTTGTGCGCACATGCACCTCAGTGCCCCCAGTTGGCGCAAATTTCCTTGGCGCCCATTGTCGGAGACCTCTCTTGTACAACGGGTTAATCTCAGGTCACATCTGGACTTAATTAAATCAATCCCTTAACAGATCGTGTCGAACAAGCTTTCACCTATAGAGGACACAGGTTATCAAAAAAACGACATTCTGCATATGAGGAGCTGAGGGTTATTTATTAAGATAGATATAGAAGGATAAATAAGGTGCAAGTAGTTGACAAGCCATCCACAGGTTTGACTGATTTAACTGTGCAGTACTCTTAAATATAGAATAAGTAATACAAATTTAAGCCCAGATATATAAAGTATATATATATATATATATATATATATATGTACACACACACTTTACACACTCAAAAAGACTTAAGGGAACACTTAATAATCACAGTATAACACCAAGTCAGTTCAACTTCAGGGATATCAAGGAAGAAGTGATTGTGAATGGGTGCAATGGAGAGGCAAAAGCAAGACAACCCTCAAAAAGGAAATGGTTTTACATGTGGTGGCCACAAACAATTGCACCATATGTAGCCTTCATTTCAAGTCAGCTTTAAATAATGACATGACAAACATCATTGAGTGGTTTGTTCTGTTAGTATTGATAATGAAACAATAAAAAAACAGGGTGAAATAATTCAATGTGAAAAACCAAATGCAGCCCATAACGAGTCCAGATTAAGTGAAGCACAAGCCAGACAGGTAGTGTCTTCCATTAAAAAAGATACAATGAGGAGACACACTGTACAGAGCCTTGTGTAGTCAGTGAACTTTGCTTTTGCCAAATGCTTCCAACGAACAGGGCGCCAAGCTCACCATCTGTTGGCGGAGCTTTGTGACACAGCACCTCTTTGATTACGGAGACATTCAGGGCAGTTGCACTTATTTTTAGAGATTGGACATTTGGACGCTGCAGTTTCCAGTACCTGGCCATGTCAGCATGAACTGTTTCTTTTACAGAGAAATGTTCAAAAGGCACAGATGCTTTGAGATGAGTAATAATAATTTGAAAATTGTGTTGCAGAAAAAGCCAGCTGAGATCATTTACAGATATTTAAAAAAGAAACTTTTCAAAAGGATTTATGGGAATGGTTGTGATGATGAACCTAATCAACACTTTCAGAGCAATAAACAGCCTCGCTCCTAAATACTTTCAAGGACCTGTTAAGCTTTGATGTGCGTGTGATGTGCCCAGTGTGCTAATATAAAAGGAGCGAGTTTTGTAAATCAAAATAAATCTTTGAATTAGGGAGGTTTTTCAGTGATTCCTTTCAGTTATATTAGAGAGAGGATATCTTGGTGTATGTGTGAGGTGAGGAGCTTAATGTTGTTGTGAGTGGTAGGGGGTGAGGACGAGTCATCGTGCCATTAAAATACGTTTTCTTTGGTGTCCTCACCTGTAGAAAAAGGTGGGACTAAGTCATTAAGTGTGAACAGGTTTTTTTTTCCATAATGGACAGTTTGACTTGTCAGGCTGGATAAAAACTGGTGCAGCCACTTGCATTCATTCAATAGAGCTGTGGTCCTCTCAGGTGTGTCACTCAGCTGCACCACTACAACCACACAAAATAGAGGGCGGCCATTGTTGTATTAACCGTATTATAGATGACACCTATGCTGGGACATGTAAAAAAGAGCCACTCTGCCTCTCAGACAACAGTCTCTAAAATAATTCCTCCCTTGTGGTTAAAGCTATGGAACTTTTAAAGAGCAACGGCGCCCTCTGCAGCCACAAGTGGTGACTCATTTTGCTCACTAAAACTTACATATTGTTGCTTTAAAGGTACAGTGTGTAGAATTTAGTGATATCTGGTGTTGAAATTGCATGTTGAACACCCCTCACCTCACCCTCTCCTTCCCAACATGAAAAAGAACCTGTGGCAGCCTTCAGTTGTCATAAAAACTCAAAAAGTGTTTAGTTTGTTCAGTTTGGACTAATGTAAAAAACATGGCGGCCTCCGTAGAGAGGGTCCCCTTGATGTAATATAAAGTATTTAAATATAAAGGGCCTTTTCTTGGGTAAAGAAAACTACAATTCATACAATTTAGATGAAACGAAGTAGTTAAAACATTGTGAGGATTATTCTACATTAAATATCTGCCAATAGTTCCCTTTCACCTAAATCGTACACACTGGGCCTTTAAATAGGACGTCAATTTATCTGATGAGTGTCATTAACTAATTAAAAGGTTCACAATTGCAACATCAAGAACTTGTTCTGACCTGCACCTCTGTGTTACAAAACACATGAAAAAAGGCTGTTGGTTTGATTTTTGTGCTGCTGAATGTGAGATGATATAAAGCTGATATTCTGACAAAACAGAAATAATTTAAGACAAATTCCTTTTGTTTTGAATGAAACAGTGTTCCAGATTCACAGTCATTTAAATTAGATGCACTTTAACGTGAATTTCTACTGTTCGCATGTGCTGATCTCACTAAACTATGAGCCAAAATGTTTGACAGATTAAGAGGATTTATTACTTACTACTTGTTTTAAAGTCCAACCTATCTTGTTGTTGAAGTTATATTGATATTTTGTCCTGCTATGAAATCATTCTATAGTTGACAAATGATGTGTGAAAGAATGAATTGATGCCTGTGAAGCTGTCAGAGTATAACTCTCTAAATTGTCTCCCCTTTAGAGTAACACAGGAGTAAATGGCAAACTTCCTCCCCCTGCTGGACACATTTAGGGGTAACATTCAGTTCTCGAGGACTCCTCTAATTATCTCATACGTGAGCAGTGTTAATACAATTAAGATGGTTGTCCTTCCACAATTGCTTTGCCTCCATTCAAATAATTTTCTGTGCAAAACACTTTTTTAGAAAAAACAAAACAAGGACTGCAACCTGTAAATCGACCATAAAATGGTTGCAATTGGCTGCCCCACTGGAAATATTCTGTCCCCTTCATTTCGATCGGTGAGGACAATTTAATCAAATATCAAAAAATAATAAAGCATGTTATCAAGTTTCTACACTCCACGGGTTTTCATACTGACCTCGTGTGTTTTGGTAGAGGAACCCAGAGCACCAGCAGGGGGCAGCGCCGGTCTTGCTCGGGGGGAACTTTAACCTCTGACACACGCCTTGCTCCTTCCTCTTCCGGTTACGGCGATAGCAGGTATGGCGGCTTCTGTTTTCCTCTCAAAGATTATAGTCTGAAAATCCACCGCAATCCGTCGATTTAGAAGTAAATGTGTCGATTAAAAGTTTGCACATAACTAAGAGAAACTAAACTGTCCTCAACGATGTAGAGATTTTAGTAGATGGAGGGGTTTATGGGTATTTTTAATCATGCTGTCCCCAGTCTCTGAGAGGCCGCTGGTGGAAAACAAGTGATAATGGAGAATGGCCGCTAACAACTACGCCAATAACGCATTTAACGTGTAGTTGAAGCTTTGCATAATGTCCCTGTCGCTCAAAACTAAATGAATTGGTTTAATGTTTTGGTCAGTCGGTCACTTCGGAGCATGGCTAGCAGAGTTAGCATCCTAGCATCACTTCTAACCGGGAGCATTATGTTTACAGCTTCAAAATGGTGCAGCGCCTGACGTACCGCCGTAGGTTGTCCTACAACACCGCCTCCAACAAAACCAGACTGTGAGTGAGCTTTTCAACTCAACCTGTAGTGTGTGTGTCTGTGAAGCTGCAGCTGTGGCTGACAAGTATTATTACCGTCCTGTCCCGCAGGTCCCGGACACCAGGTAACCGCATCGTGTACCTGTACACCAAGAAGGTCGGCAAGGCCCCCAAGTCAGGATGTGGCATCTGCCCAGGAAGACTGCGTGGAGTGAGTTCTAGCATCCTAGTGTGGTCAAGGGTCCTTGTTCTATGAAAGCATGTGGATCTCCCACCTCTGCTACATCAGTGTCAGATAGGACATGATGGCATGGCTCTTTATGGACCATACCTGAAAAATAAAAAGTGGTGTCATTCATGAGAACACACAAACATGTCCAGAGTGTGTGGCATTACGAGCTGCAGCCACCTCTCTTCTGAATAATGTGGAGGATTTGATGATGTGAGTGTGCCCATGCAGAAAACCTCCCGCTGCTATGTGCATGTGTGATAGGCAAACCTTGGGTAATGTCTGTAGCCAATTCTCTGGATTTTACCAGGAGGTCATGTCTTCATTAGTTTGTTATAAACGTAGCAGCTGACTTTTCTGATTAACTTACAACCCAGAAGTTGGTTGTCTGCCATTGTGCAGACAATCACACTTTTCCACTGCTGCTAACATGTTCTGATCGTGGCTTTGTTCTTTGTCGCACAGATTCGGGCTGTTAGACCTCAGGTTCTGATGAGACTCTCCAAGACCAAGAAGCACGTCAGCAGGGCCTACGGAGGCTCCATGTGCGCCAAGTGTGTCCGCGACAGGTAAGAAAAGTATTTCTCATCTCATGAGAAACTGGGGCAATGCTAGAATTTGCGGCTGTGACGAGAACTTTAAATTGAAAACAGATTAAATCCACTGTTCTGGCATAGATGATGTTGGTGCAAGATTTGAATTGCTTATGCATTTATGCTTTCTTGCCTTTTATTTGTAGGATCAAGCGCGCTTTCCTGATTGAGGAGCAGAAGATCGTCGTCAAGGTGCTGAAGGCACAGGCACAGAGCCAGAAAACTAAGTAAACTGTATTTGAATTGCCACAATAAAAAACGACAACAAATCCATTGCCTGCCATGATTCATATTGCTTGACAATAGGAAATGCAACCACATTTCTATCTTTATTGTTGAATTTACATCAGGTTAAACAACATGGGTTTAAATGCTTGACTGAATTAAAGAAGTCAAGGTACCTTAAAATCACACAAAAGCTTAACAGTGTAGAGCATGCATCTGGGAGCAATCTATAGAGTGCAGATGTGAAGGGGACTGACTGGCCTGTACAACGAGGTCCTGCCAAGCACTCAGCAAAGAGCATTGGGAAACAGCCAGGGCAGAAGAGGGTAATCAACGCCAATGGCCCCTGTGGTGAGACTGCCCAGACCATAGACCACATCCTCAGAGGTGCCCACTGGGTCCCCCTCACTCTGACAAAGACAAACACAGAAAACATCCTGCAGTGATATAACCCATTTAAATTGAAGATAAGACTTAATCCTGGAGGAAATTTTGCCAGCTTCAAGATTGCAGAATTAAACAGAGTTAGGTGAAAAATGTATTGCAAATGAAATGAAAAGTAAACTGAGTAATGCAGAACCAGGGCCTAATTGTAAAATAAACGGAAACCACAATAAAATCAAGTTACATGAGAAAGAAACTAATACTAAACAAAAATGTCAGTAAGGTCAGATCTTGCACATCATACTGACATAATATGAATAAAATAAAAAAAATTATAATAATAAATCAAACAAAGAACTTAATGTTATAGTCACATGAGAAACTTGACTTCTGTAGAAAAAGACGACTGATGTTGCAAAATGAATCAAAACTAAATTTAGGCTGAGTATATTCTTAAAAGGTACAGTGTGTAGAATTAAGTGATATCTAGTGTTAAAATTGCATGATGCAGCTGAACATCTCTCACCAAAGAACCTGTGGCAGCCTCCAGTTGTCATAAAAACTCAAAAGGTGTTTAGTTTGTCCTGTCTGAACTAATGTAAAAAACATGGCAGCCTCCGTAGAGATGGTCCCCATTATGTAAATATAAAGTATTTAAATATAAAAGGCCTTTTCTGGGGTAAGGGAAACTACAATTCAAACAATTTAGATGAAACAAACTAGTAAAAAGGATGAGGATGATTCTACATTAAATTTCTGCCAATAGTTCCCCTTTCACCTAAATCTTACACACTGGACCTTTAAATAAGCTTTTCTGCTAGAACACTACTGTATTTGCTGTCTTAGGTTCACTAGTTTTTTTTGTTTATACTGTTTTGTCTTATCTTGAATTGTATCAGCTAGAAATTTAGTTCCCCTCAAGTGTTTGAGAGTTAAAGAAAACCAGTTAGAGTGAAATTCTGCTCTGCATCTGCCAATCAGCTTGCGCCCTCACTGCAACTGTTTGCTGTCCTGGCTCCTAAATGGTGGAGCGATCTCCCCCAGTGACATCAGGACAGAACAGAAAGTCTACACATCTTCTGCTGCAGATTATAGACACATCTCTACCGACTACATCTTGGATAAAAATAAAGAAAAATCCAGTTTTCTTGCACTTATATGGCACTTACATGTAGCACTTTTTGTTTGGCTTTTATGAAGCAAATTACTTGCTCGATTCTTGTTGTTCTGGGTTTATTGTAAGTCGCTTTGGATAAAAGCGTCAGCTAAATGAAATGTGATGTAATATTAGGGATGTGCTCTTTTGAAAAGAACTAAAGATAATTAAAGGCTTTAGTCTTTGGTTCAAGCTCAACTTGTTGCATGATTATTGTCTGAATTTCCAGGGTGGAGATGTCGGATGACAGTCACAGGTTCTCTGTGATATTACTCCACCTCAGCTCCAGCACCTCTTTTCCTGCAGTGAATAATCAGCTCCTTAGTTTTGCTCACGTTGAGCAGCACACTGTTCTCTGCACCAGTCATGCTGATGATGTTCCAGGCAGCATAACATTCACCACAGCTTCTTCAGACTCTTTCACACCTGTCACATGTGCTCAGTGTGAACCGTCTGTTCACCTGTGAAGAGAACTAATTCCTCATTATATGAATTGTTGCTGCTGTCATTAATAATCACTAACATGTTTACACTGTTATTGTTTTCATTATAACTAGTAAGAGCTGATACCTGAGGGTGTAAATGGTCTCTCTCCCCCTCCCCACAATCTCTTCTCTCCCCTCTTTTCCACCCATCTTCCCTCTCATCCCCATTTTCCTTGCTACCGGTCGAGGCAGATGGATGCTCACGTTGAGCCTGGTTCTAGAGGTTTCTTCCTGTTAACGAGGGAGTTTTCCTCTCCACAGTCACCAAAGCGCTTACTCATTGTGGGAACTGTTGGGTTTCTCTATATAAAAAAAGATTTTAAGGTCTTGACCTACTATGTAAAGTGCCTTGAGATAATGTATATAATGATTTGGCGCTATACAAATAAAACTGAATTGAGACATACACACCTGAAGCCTGCTGGAGGCCCTTTGTACAGCTATGGCAGTGCTCCTCCTGTTCCTCCTCGCTCAAAGGAGCAGATGCCGGTCCTGCTGCTGGGTTGATGCCCTTCTACAGCCCTGTCCAGCTCTCCTTGTGTAACAGCGGGTCTCCTGGTATCTCCTCAATGCTCTTAAGACTGCTGGGAGACACAGCAAACCTTCTGGCGACCACACGTATGGATGTGCCTTCCTGGAGGAGCTGGACTACCTGTGCAACCTGATCCGGCTGCAGATACCTCCTCATGCTACCACTTGTGACAAGGACACTGGCAGGACACAAAACTAAAGAAGAATCAGTCAGGAAAGATAAAGACAGAGCACCTGTCTGTGGCCAGCATGTAAAACCATTACCCTTTTGAGGGTTGTCTTGACTTTGCTCTCCATTGCACCTGTTGTCACTTTAATTTGCACCAAAGCATATGAAACTGATTCATTATCACTTGTGCTTCCTAAATGGACAGATTGATATCCCTAAAATTTAACTGACTTGCTGTTATACTGTGACAATTAAGGCTAATTTTCTTTTGAGCAATGTAGATAAAAAACATTGTCTTATTTTAACAAGGAAACTGATGCTGTTTTGAGTTATATCATAAAAACAATAATACATTTTATTAATAGGCACCTTTCAAAGCACTCAAGGTCACCTTACAAGGCTGAGATACAAACAGAACAAAAAACAATGTATCAAAAACATTAATAAAATGAACAGTGAATAAAACATTTAGTTTGCAAAATGGCAGACAATCAAACTGAATATGCCTGTTTAAAAAGATGAGTTTTTCGATGAGATTTAAAAATGGAGAGAGTCAATGTTTCGAATGTCTGGTGGTGAGGAGTTCTAGAGGCGTGGAGCAGAGCGGCTAAGGCTCTAGATTCCATGGCTGTCAAACGTGAGATGAGGTGGATGGAAGAAGACCTGAGACATACCCTCCCGGTGTGGGAGTTCAGAAAGGTATAGAGGAGGAAGATTGTGGATGGCCTTAAAGGTGAGGAGCGGCATCTTAAAAACAATGCAGTGTTTGACCGGGAGCCAATGAAGCTGCTGAAGGACTGGAGTGATGCGAGCAGCAGAGTTCTGGACTAATTGAAGTTTATGAAGAAATTTGCAAGGGAGACCAAATAGAAGGGAATGACACTGATCAATATGGGAAGAATCAAAGGGTGCGAATGAGAAGCAGCACTGTTTGGTGTGAGGAATGGGCGAAGGCGATTAATGTGGCATAGATTAAGGTAGATCTGGTAACATTATTGATGTGGGCTTGGAAACATAGTGTGCTGTCAAGGATGACTGATGACTTCTATAGAAGTGAAGTATATGTGTATATGTGTATATATATACACAATATATATAAACCCAACAGTTCCCACAATGAACATTGGGATACTAGGGGAAAATGGAGTCCACTGTTTGAGCCCAGTAAAGTTAACCACAATATTAAAATATCAAGAAGGTGAGATTAAAATGGAAAAGTCGTGAGAGATGGAAATTTGATGATCATTTGCAAGAATGAAGAACAGAAAGAACAAGGATGAAAGATGTGGGGTAAAGTGACATAACTTTTATTGTCATGTGGCATGCAGTAAGTTACACCCAATTGAAATTTATGCAACACATGCATTACAGAGGGGGTGCAGGGCAGCCATTATACGGCGCCCATAGAGCAGTTGGGGGTTTGGTGCCTTGCTCAGGTGCACCTTGGCAGCTCTGGAGGCAAGCTGGCAGCTCACCAGCTACCAGTTTGCTTACTTGGTCCAGCAGGGGACTCGAACCGGTGACCCTCGAACCGGTGACCCTCAAACTGGTGACCCTCAAACTGGTGACCCTCCAGGATGGCTCTCCAAGGACGTGCCATTGTGCCACTGCCGCCCCGAAAGGAAGCCATCTATATCAAATTATGGGAAATAGCGCAAGGTCTTTTCAAAGGGCTTTCCCTGGGCTGCAGTGGATGGACCACAAAATCAGATGTGTGAGTGGTGATGAATCGAGACGCTGATGAGTCTGGGGTCTCTGGCAACCAAGATGGCTCTGGGTCCTCTGGTGGCGAAGATGGCATTGGGGTCTCTTGGGACTCTGGTGGTGAAGATGGCTTTCGGGCCTCTGGTGGCAAAAACGGTGTTGGGGCCTTTGGTGGGACTTTCATCCGTTTGCAGTGGATATATTTTTTCCTGAAACATATTTTCATGAATTAAATTAAAAGTTGGGGTTGAGGCCTCCCTTGTGAAAGAGGAGTCAGGACAGCTTCAAGAACAGGTACTGCAGGTAGCGGACCTGGAGTGCAGGGTAGAGGAGCTGATGTCTGAACTTTTATAAGCATTTTTTTATCTGGACTATTTTACATTAGTTACACAGAGATTCAAAACATGCCATACCCCATTATCTCTCTATACACAATACCCTCATGTACACATATAGTGACAGACAAAGGACATACCTTAAAGTGGTCATTGGCATGTACTTTGTGCCTGCCAGTGGATGGAAGGGGTCTGCCTGTGGTGCTGTGAAGGCCAGAGTCTTATAACTGCGTGGATCAATAAACCTTTCGCAGTACTCTGTGGTCTGTAGGGACCCAGTCTGGGCTCTCTGAGAACTGGGCTGCTTCCTAGATATCAGGTGCACATAGTGAATACTATATAAGTTATAAAGTTTGTACAGCATTTTAGCAACAAGGCCATTCAGAGTGTTTTGCATAAGACATGCACAACTCCACTGAATGCCACAGGGGATCCTTTCTTCCTGTGGACATCCAATTTATATATTATTTTGTATTCTTCTGCACATATACATTAGTAGAAATACATGTAGAAAATGTATAAATGCAACATGTGCTGTATTTAAGTCTGTCTAACTTTTTGTCAACATTCATATAATTTGACAACCTCATGTTTAAGCATCATGCAGGAGTAAGTCTGATCACACCTTTTTGCAGACAGATCACAACAAACATTTCCTGTAACTGCAGCTCACAGAAATCCATTGAAAATAATTTAGCAAAACATAAGCAGGTTTGTAATTATTGTTTTGTCCATACACATTCCCATGAAGAAAATATGGATATAAGGATCGTCTCACCTCATTGATGGGTTTCGCTGACCGTTGTTACACTCCATTCTTGCGCAAATAAGTGGTGAACTGGTGTTGTTCCAAAAAGTGATCGTCTGCCAGAAAGTGATTGCAATCTGCAGGAGTGTGTGCACAGTCTGGTAAAGTTGTATCGCCTGTTTATCTGCGTCTACAATTGCTTTTGAATCAAACTTTCTTAACGTACAAAGTATACAGATTTGTTTATCTACACTGTGAAAACAATGATATGTAGTTAAGAAACATTTAAAGGTTCGGTGTGTAGAAATTAGTGACATCTAGTGGTTGAGTTGCATGTTTCACTGAATACCTCTCATGTCACCCTCCCCTTCCAAACATGAAAGAGAACCTGTGGTAGCCTTCAGTTTTCTTAAAAACTCAAAAGGTGATTAATTTGTCCAGTTTGGACTACTGTAGAAAACATCTCTCTCCATAGGGAGGACCCACTCTTGATGTAAATATAATGTATTTAAATGGCCCATTCTAGTGTAATTATAATAACAATTCAATTCAGGAAATTACACAATAGTGAAAACATGAAGGATTATTTCATATTAAATTTCTGTCGACCGATCCTTGTCAAAGATATCTTATACACTGAACTAATAAGATTTATGGATGGGTCACACATAACATAAAGAAATTAAAATATTATTTTTACCTGCTCTGGGTTTGTAGGAGCAAATTGATGGTTCTGGATGTTTGAAATACCTTTTCTTTTTGCAAGAAACTGAATGCAGCTCCTGTTTTGTCAAGTGTTGTTCAGCTTTAAAATGTCTTTAGCACAAATGGCAAGATGTAAATCAAAGGTTCACATTCCTTTACAGTGGTTTCCAAGTCCTTAACATGAAAACCCCATTGATGCCTTTGATTTCTATATATTGATGCAGTATATAATTGATTTATTCAATGATTTATTCAATTAATCAAAGAAGAAACATCACTTTGATGTTGGTTTCCACCTGCCAATTAACCAAACCGAAAGTTATAATTTTTCGTGTGCTCAACCAATTGTGTCTCAGTTGTGAAATTGTTTAACAAATGTATTTGCAGCATATGTTTCTACAAATATTTGATTGTGTTTTTAGAAAGGTAGCGCTAACTCAGTTAAACTTGACAGCAGCAGCACTCTGGTTGCTTTTAATTATGCTTTATAAATATATTTCATTTGATTTGAAACTTAGAACTCTTAGGATGTCTGATCTACTGACAACAAGGCAAGAGCGTCAGCAGCCCCAGGTCCGAACTTTGTCTTGTATACGAGAATGCTCCTGATGTACTGTGCCTCTTGTGGAAATGAATGAGTGGCATGGGTGAAGTAAATTATACCCAAAGCTTGGCGCAGAGTTTTATTTCGTGTTTAATAGTTAAACATTTGTTTTCTTTTTTCTTTTTGTTTTGTTTAATATAACTAGTTAGATTATGCCTTTAGAATAATAACAATAAAACACAATAATAATATTGTTTTTGCTATTTTTGGTAAATTTTGGTAGATACTGAGCACCAGGTGATAATATACTGTATATATGGTTAGGTGGACATTAGCAGGCAGGCACCAGGGAGGGTTCATGTTTTTTTACCAGGGCAAGACAGACCGCAGAAGCCATTGCCTTCTGTTTGTTTGCAAAAATGGAAAAATAAACCAGAAAAAATTGACGCCAGCCTGTAGAATAGACTTATTCTCTGTGTAAAGTTTTTTGCTGTTGCTTTTTCTAATTAAGTTTGAGGACGGATTGCCATTATAGTAACAATGTAACACTTTGTGACAGAGTGTTCAAAATTAGAGGAAATGTTTTAAAAATAAATACATTTTAGACACACACACGTACTGTATATGTGACAAGAAGAGCGTTGAAAATATATATTTCTATATAGCTCTAATTAGATCAATTATAGACTGTGGATGTGTTGTTTACAAGGCAGCAGCAAAAACTTTGATAAATAAAATAGAAATAATACAAAATCAGGCACTATTAAGACATCCCCAAATATAGCTGTCCAAGAGGAGATGGGAGAAATGCCGCTGAACCTTACATACAAACAGCTTCTGCTAAACTATTGGACAAACATACAAGTTAACAGAGAAGAAGAACATCCAACTGTGAGTGCCCTGAGACCATGCTGGGAAAATGAATAAGATAAGACAGAATGTTGAAGAGAGACAAAGGAAATTGGGCAGAAATAGTAGAGGGAAGACTGAAGACAACACACAATACTCTTGTCCCAATATACTCAGATGGGTCAAATGAACTGGATTTGCTTTTGTTATCCCAGACCTAAACAAATATAAAGTAAAGAACATTGGATCACCTGGCAATATATACAGTAGAGATGTTGGCAATAGCTATGGCATTACAGTGGACAGAGCAAAACAAGTTAGAAAAGGTTATAGTATGCTAGATATAGTATTCAGATTCACTGTCAGCAATGGTATCACTTCAATCAATGTTATCCCACTGTAGAGCCAATATCTTTTAAGGAATATATGAAACACTATATAGACTACATCATTCAAAAACAGAAGTCAGGTTCATGTGGATCCCAACTCACAGCGGGAATTGAGGGAAATGAAATGGTAGACTCACTCGCTAAGCAAGCATTAAAACAGGAAACAAATATGGAGGTATAACATTCAGTAAGTCCATAGCCAAAACAATAATTAGAAGTAGCATCATGACTGGCAAAAACAATGGCATGAGGGAGGAAATCTGTATCAAATAAAGCAAAAAGTGGGAGGAATGAAAATAACAGGGAAATAGCAAAAAAAAAAAAATCAAAGTTTAGGACACATTAAAACAAAACAAAGCATTTAATAGGGAAACATCCACAGGGGAGGAAAACTGTGGAACATCTGTCACTGCCTTGTTCGAGTTTTTAGAAGAAACCGGATTAACAAGGAGGATTTAAGTTTAAATTTGTGTTTTTATTATCTATGGTAGCGGTAATGCACCTTTAACGTTAGGTGGCACCATACAGTCTATGGTGGCACCCACCATTAAACAACAAAAAGAAGAGGAAGAGGAAGAGGGGGGGGGGAGCATATACTTCCGGGACACGTCAACAGAGCCACTGCTTGGACGTCACGTTAGCAACAGCATCAGCAGCTGTGGTGTAGCGACGGTTTCAGTACGAACATGGAGACTCTATACAGTTTGCCGTTCTCTGTGCTCGAGTGTCCCAATGTTAAACTGAAGAAACCATCCTGGCTGCACATGCCGTCCGCCATGACCGTGTATGCGGTCGTTATTGTGTCCTACTTTCTCATCACAGGAGGTAAACGAACGAGCTAAGCTAACCACTGGCGGCTAGCTGGCTGTAGCTAAATCAGTTAGCATTACATTTACTACCAGTGTTCTTTCGTGGGCCGCTAATAAATGATAGATCATGTCAGATACCGTTTGCATTGGTTGTGTTTGTTAATGAGCTTGCTAACGTTACCGCTAGCACGTATGCTAACAACAGTGCAGTTTGCCGGCTAAGCTAGAACCAGATGTGATGGCATCTGTACTTGTTAAGTTATCAGTAATAATGTTTAATCTCTAGATCGAGCTATCGCTCTGTTGTCATGTTGAACATAATTATAATAACGATAAACCTTATTTATTAAGCACTTTTAAAAAGCTGAGATTACAAAGTGCTTTGCCAGCAAAGCAAGAAAAGTAAATATAAGAGAAGCAGGATGCAATGTGACGAGGAGGTTAAGGTGGTCTGAAACAAGGTAGTGTTTAAATTAAATGAATTCAAATAGAGCTGCGTCACGTAAAAGCAGTAATCTGACAATGAGAATAAACGAACAAGGTGTAAAGTCACTGACTCTGAGCCTTGTCTCCATGGGAAGCCAAAGCAGAGAGGCCCTGAGAATCACTTGGCTGTGATTGGCTCAGAACACAGGAAGTTGCGCTGTGGTCTGATTGATGCCTAATTGAATCCCTTTTCTCACTGTAGGTATCATCTACGACGTTATTGTTGAGCCGCCCAGTGTGGGTTCAATGACGGACGAGCATGGACACCAGCGACCGGTTGCCTTTTTGGCATACAGGTATGATACTCATCACACTTTTCACCCATATGCTGTTCATAAAGACGGACGACATGACAGTGTCCCAAAAGTGAAGCCAAACCGTTTCGATTGCCCCTGGTGGCTGGCTGTAGTAAAGGTCATAAACCCAACATAAAGATGTTTTTAGTTAGTTTTACACCAATGTAAGTTTAGTTTAAATGATCTGTTTGATAATACAAGAACGTTATTAATCACTTGCTCAGACTGACCCACGATTGGTCAAACATGTCTATCAGCAAGACTGAGCTCCCACGATCACGACTGCACAGATTCTGGCTTCAAATGCACAAGATGGCAACGTTTGTATCTGGGATATTTTGGCTTGATTACTTGATAGTGGGAGAAGGTGGAGATGCTTCTTCCATCTTTATATACTGTGATGATCTCAACACATTTATAGCACATAATTGATGTGAGTTGTATAAATGAAGCGCAGCTAATGCAGCCAGATTTGTTTTGCAGGGTAAATGGCCAGTATATTATGGAAGGACTGGCCTCCAGCTTCCTCTTCACGATGGGAGGCCTGGGCTTTATAATCCTGGACCGCTCAAACGCGCCTAACATTCCCAAACTCAACCGCTTCCTGTTGCTCTTCATCGGCTTCGTCAGTGTCCTCCTCAGCTTCTTCATGGCCAGAGTTTTCATGCGCATGAAGTTGCCGTAAGTTTGAACATGTTTGGTCTTTCAGTTACCAGTCCGGCTTCTGTTCTGCTTCTGTTCTTGTCGTTGTCATGGTCTTTAAAAGTTTGTCTTTTGTCTTTTCAGAGGATACCTCATGGGCTAAAGACACACACACAACACTTCAACAAAAAGAATTCGGATTGGACGGATGGCATTCGACATTTGGGGCCCAACAGAGATTCAGCTAAAATTATGGATAAACTCAACCTGACTCAAAGCACTGACCTAACTGAAGAAATTCAGTCCCAGCTGCACTGACAGTCTCACACTGGCTGTGTCTCGTTAGTGTTCAGTGACTTCCTCCTCTCTTCTCCAACGTTCTCAACAAGTTAATGCAACAGATTCATAGCAGACCTCTTCCTGTGTCGTTAGATCCAACATGAATGCACGCCTATTTTACCACATGCTGCTGGAACATCACCTTTTCCCAATTTTACTGAATCTAGGGGGACTTGCATTTCATTTTTCCTTTGGGAGAAGTTAAAAGTACTTTGCAGTGGGGATGACGTACTTCTCAGACACTAGAGAAGACACAGGAAGTTACTGGACACAGTTGGGATTGAGCCATTGCTTAAAAAAAAAATGTGAATAAGGTTCTGAATAACGTCAAAGTTGTGTTTAGTTGTCAAAAAGTCATTGAGAAAGCCTTTAACCTGTCACAGATGCATTTTTTTCTACCAGGTTGTGAAATAAATCTTCCTTTTCAGAACTCTTTGCTATGACTGTCATACATTTATCAGAAACATCCATTTCTGCTACAAAGACTAGAGGCAGAGTTACATGACTTCAGCCATTGTAAGGGATATATAGCTAAGCTTATCTATGGTCTGCTTGCTCGGTTTCCACAAAAACAGTGTCATTTTCCTTCCAGAAGGTGGCGTCATTGATCCAGCAAGTCCCATCGACAACATACAAGAGCGTTAAAGAACTACATTTTTCTCCACTAATATATTTCACAGAAACATGAAGGCCAATTATTTTAGAGTTTG